TATCCCTTTTAATTATTTAGACATCAGGCAATTTCTTTTGTATGTCCAGTATAACATCTTTTTCCATGTCATTCTTGTAACCTGTCATTTTTAAATCCATTTTCAAATCAGTCTCAACCTTGTCAGGTAAAAATTGTTCCTTTTCCATAATATCTTTTAAATGCAGTCTATCTATAAAGGCAGACACTCTTAAAATTAACTTCTGGGGCCACTGTTCAAAAATATCCTTCCATATGTCTAATGTTAAAATATTTTTGCTTCATTCTGTATTTGTAAGTTGAGTTTGAATGTTCTTCTCCTTTCATTGTAATCTTTAGTTCCTTCTAATTCCCTCTAGTGTCCAATTTTTAAAGTCTTATCTTATTATGTTTTTTTTTTAAGAATTCAAAACAAAAGCATTTTCCCACGGGAAGGATTCAAAAATCATATTTCAAATTTATCTGGACACTTAGTCCATTTGTAACCTTCTAAAATCAATGTTTTAATCACCTTTTTGCTGTTTATTAAAAAAATATTTTTAAGTCCTTAAACTTGTATTTAAAACTTCTTTCATTAAGGATTGAAGGAAACTCACCCAGTGCTGTAAAACTTGTTGATCCAAAGGTTGTTAACAGCTGAAAAGCAGTTAACAAGCAATTTCTGAAAGTGATTATTAGAAAAGGAAGCATGTGAACCCAGTATCCTTTCAAAGGTGGCGACCAGGGTTTGAGCAAGATGGCTATTCCCTCATCTCCCAGAACTCTAAACTTGCCGGACACTGCTGCCTTGCAAGGAGCAACTCCCTGGAGCACTTGTGGGCAATCTCAAGTCCTCTCCATGTCTAGCAAGGAATTACTTAAAAAGCCAGTCTACTTGCCAGCTCTTCATTCTGCCACGGTCATCTACGTTTTTTTGGAACCAAACCACCGTCTGCCATTTCTTCCCTGGAAGTCAGATAGGCTTCAAAAATATAGACTGAACTGTCTCCAGAACAGAAAAGCTCTTGCAGATGCAGGCCTGTGCACCAGATAACATTGTGGCAGCTGCCTTACCCCTAAAACCGTAATTTCAAAGGGGATAAATAAATCCCATTTGGAAGACAAACCTGAGAACCACCTTTGAGTGGACTCCATAACATGAATCATCTGTGCCCTCCAGGAACATAAAGCCTGGAAGAAACCTAGGTATCTAAACATTTAGCTTGCTCTATTTTATGTCCATTGATCTGCAGACATATGTTGTTAAACACTTGGAGAAGCCCATAAGTTTGGTCCTTTCTTCAGGACAACAGGAAGTAAAGAATGAAAGAATGGTGCATCAACTGGACTCAGCAGGGCAGGTACCTGTCTATTAGCTTTCATGGTGGGTAGATGCTAGGATCAGAAGTATCTTTGACCCATGAGTTGATGTAGAAGTTAAACAAAAAGAGGGTTAATATATAGCCCTACTTCATCCCTTTGCTTGAAAATATTGGGCACGTAAGATACCCCTGAGCAGTGCAATGAAACCTCAAGCAGGTCAATTGTATACTGAATTGCCCTAAAGTCAATCTGCTGTTCCACTAGGATGTTCTCACTATCCAGGCAATCCCTGAACATCCAGCAAAAATGCCTTGCATAAATTTTACTAATTATACTAAGTAGAAAATATGGGAAGTCATCATTTCTATTGCTATAAAAACAACTTAAATCTTTTTGTTTTTGAAGTTAAAATTCTGCTTTTTTCAAGGGACTTTTTTCCTAATGGTGATAATCCTAACTTACAGAGAATCCTGATTTTGATGCTGTAAGAAAAATAATAAAGCATAATTTCATGGATATTTATATTTGTTATGAGAAGGTTGCTACAGTACTTATTTATAATCATTATATTGCTGTAGACCACCAATGATTTTCTATGGAAAGGTCAACTCAAGCCTTAATAGAAAGACTGAATATAATGGAGAAGACGTGAGAGAAATCACTCCTGTTCAGTGTGTACCACCACCATCACCACCACCACCACTTTTTTCTTTGTCACACCGGTAAATATAATGCTTAACATAAAGTCATTTAAATTCATAAGTACAAAATACTGGCAATCAAAAAGCATCATTTTTCTATCTTCTGCAACAGAATATTTGATTTTTTTTAACCAAAGATATTCTTTACCAAATATATTCTTAACCTACTGGGGACTAAGGAGTCAAAAATCCTATCTAAGGATTTTTGACTCCTTAAGTTAATGTGCATTTAATTTATTCCATAATGCTTGAACTGTAGCTTGAGTGGATGAAACTATTTTTGTAGGGAAATTCTCACTTTGTTAATGAGAAACAGGAGATGCTGTTGAGAAAATAGGGTAACACAGAATTATGGATCTAGTTGTGATCTTAGTCTGGTATGTTGAAAGCTTTTGCAAGCAACTTCAAAATCCTGTCCCACTGGAAAGCCTGGGAGCCCTATCTACCCATTTGATTCCTACCAATGTTTTTGCATACTGGTATGGGTGAGCCAAGATATTTCCCTCTGTAAACAGTGGTAGAATATAAATAATGCTTTAACAAAGTGCATAGGTAAATGTCCAAAGCATGCTTTAACAAAGTGCATAGGTACCCTCCAAAGCATGCTGAAAGACCTGTTCTGACCTACCAACTATAGAAAACACCCTCTTAATATATGTTGGGGGAGCCTCAGAGTCTGAACAAATTTATAGAATAGGCAGGAACTGGGTTTATTCCATCTCTATATCACTCCAGAATATAGAATATATGACTATGGGGAAAGAGTTGTTCTGGTTTATTCCATCTCTATATCACTCCAGAATATAGAATATATGACTATGGGGAAAGAGTTGTTCTGGTTTATTCCATCTCTATATCACTCCAGAATATAGAATATATGACTATGGGGAAAGAGTTGTTCTGACTATCTTCCTTTTTGTTTCCCTTTAAGCATTTGACCTATCCCCAGAAGAATACACACTAGAAGCAATACACTTTATTCCAAATTTCTTCCCACTTTTAGTTTTGCACACTGAATTATATGGAACAAAAATACATGTTCTACATGGTGTAGAAGCCCCAGCCTATGAGCCAGACGCAGGCAGCAGAACATCTCTTTTCAGTCAGTGGTTCTTTGCCTCACCACAGCAACTACATTTTGGAAAAAGATATTTCCATTGAGGTCCAGCCTAAATGTGGTCTGTGTTGGTATTCTGGTGGGGACTGCAACCAACAAGGGAAGAATTAACCTTCCCTTCTCAATGCCATCCTCTGCCATACTGCAAGTTTTATTGATACACTGACATCATATATTGTTGCCAGGAATCATTAGGCTTATGTATGTATCCCTTGATAGAAAGTGGGATGAAATCATGTCATCTTCTTCTGGGAATAATGATGTTTGTAATTCAGCCTTGGCAGCTGATAATATAAAGGTTTAGTCAGAGTCTACAGCATATCTCAAATGTACTTTTGCCTATTACACCATCTTCCTTCCTGATGGTGAGGGCAACACTATTGTGAGTTGCTCAGAGCTAACATCAGATTCTAAAGAATTCATCCTCAATACTTGGAAACTCCTAGGATTTTAGGTATTGTTTGTAAATATCTCATAGAAATGCTTAAAGAGCCCAGTAGAGCTCTAGGATCCTTACCTACCCTTAGTTGCTAATGAGGCTTCTGTAGTTTCTGTCACCTCCTTCTCTAACATAGCCAACCGCTTCTTCCTCATCTCCAGTCCTTTTTCAAGGTTAGATCTCAGTGCAGGAGGCTGGCTGCCAAGATACCCCTGCGCCTTTAAGCCCAGCTGCCAATTATGGCACCAAGTAAGCCCAAAACAACACACAGTACACACTGGCTGTATCTGACACACATACTAAAACCCATTATACATACCACATCCATAGATATGACTTCTTTACCTCACCTGATTGCGTCTGTTTTCAAGAAGGGAAGTCTCATAGAGCTGAGCATTGTGAAGAACAATTCCACAAAATGCCAGGTAAGCAGCAAAATCCTATAAATTGGACATTAAAAGTTAAAAGTTATATAACTAGAGATCCTTAGATTAGGAGACCCAAACTTCTAAGAGTTTGATTTGTATCTTGAAATAATCAGGTGTTTTGCTGATACTAATAGCACCTCTATTATTTGATTACGCTTGAGGAGTTAGAAGTTTGTTATTTCCGATTCCTAAGCACCTTACTTTATTAGCAAAGAGTGCTGTTTATATCTGTCTTAAAATATCCAGTATTACGTGTAACTAGATTCCTAATGGTAAAGAGTTGTGGTGAATTTTGCAAACACAAAAACAGATGCAGACAATGGCCTGTCTTGTGTGAAATATTAAGTGTAGGCTTACATTTTTAAAAGCCAGAACTGAATCTTGTTGAGGTAGCAGAGCATGAACAGTTTTTGTTCATGTTTTAATTCTGATGTCCCATAGATGCTCATCACAAATTCTATTTAGAAAGGATGAATGAATTCTTATTTTGTCCCTGCCAGAATTGTCAGCTACTCTGTTCCAGGTTCAGCTCTATTTAGTGAACTAGATATTTCTTGTAAAATAACATAGCTTAAAAATGGCTAAATAACAAATTCAGGTCACTCTGCCTTAAGCACTTTTAAATTAATTCCATATCTTTCAAAATATGGTTTTATCAAGTTATCCACTTTATTTCTTCTCTTATGAGCTGAACAGCAATTACAACAGCAAAACACAGTTTAATAATGATTTGATGTGTTAGATTTCTATACTAAGTACTCATTCTCAGAATTACTTGAGAAGTATATTTTAATATAATTAAGCTGAAAAATAAAGGTAATTTAATTTCTGAAGTTAAAGGAATGTTTATTGAAGAAAGTGGTAAGAAAAGAGAAAAAGTTCAGGCGGTTGCAGAGAATTAGCAGGAACAGGTAGTCAGCCATAAGACTTGTGCTGGTGAGTGTTGGCAATGACTGAAGAACTTAAGATTTTTTTTCCTATTCTTTTGTTTTTTCTTCTGTGCTGGTTACTTCTGTTTTCCATAGCTTTCCTACAGAAGTTTACAAGACATGAAGGCAATAATACTATTTCACTAATGTCTCCTAATGATTGGTATTCAAAAGCATGTTATTTTTGGTCTTGAACCCTTGTGACTTTATTAGAATGAATAAGGTTATTTTCCACAAATTTGTCTAAAACTCTGCTTAAAGATAAGTTAGTAATCACATTGTGAAAAGCAACACTTCCTACATTCTGTCCAGCTACATCATTCAGCTACATTAGATGCCCCAGTTGTTCTAGTGTGATATTCAAGCAAACTAAACAATTCAGGATAAAATCAGTATAAACGAAAGAGAAATTAAACTAACTTCTTATACTAACAACTTCTATGTAGCTACATTTTAGTGAAATTTTAAATTTCTGCATATCATATAGGAATATGGAATGATAATATAGAGCATGTTTTTTTTTAAGTTTTAGATATTTACATACAACAGTAATCTATTTCCACATTGCAAACATTAGCAAAGTATTTGAGATCTAAATAGTTTACATTCTCTTGTTCCTCTATTATAGATTTGATTTTTATTTTGGGACTTCAATGGTACTTCAATGGGTTTGTGTTTGGTATTACTAAACAAATAGACAATAAATAAATACATAAAACAAATGCCCTTATAGATACATTTGTCTTGCTGTAATTGCATTTTCTCTCTCTTTTTAATTTTTTACAGGTTTTCTCTTATTTTTTAAAATCTCTTTTCTATTAAATAAATAAAGCAAAATAAATAAATACATAAATACATAAAAGAAGGACTTTAAAACACTAGTGTAAAAAATTATTATAAAAGCTGCCTATGGAATTAAAAACAAATGCCAAGCCACACAAAAAACCAATACAAAGATAATTTTAAAAGCTGGGGAAAACATCAAAAGCTTGTTCTCTTTCTAAAATTATATTAAGGTAGGTACCAGATAAATGTTTCTGTAGAGCACAGAAGGGCATGAGGCTACCAAGATAAAGTATGCACTTTCATTGTGACCATGTCCTGCACTTCAGATGGCATGGGAACATTTGTTAATAAAAATAAACTTGTAAAATATACCTTCTCATCTTGCTCAGTGAATGTTCCTCCACAACCAGATTTTTTGTTGATTGCTTGTGCCACACCAACCACCTGATTAAAAGTCAATATAGGAATATTAGTTTACTCAATAGGGCTTCAGCTGAAGGGCATAAGAAAATCAATAGTCACCTGAGATGTCCATGACTTCTTGTAAAGTTTACTATTATTTTTGAGAAGTAGTATGAAGTGAAAAACAATGCAATAGCAGTATCCTTATTTTTAAAACTTATAGCTGCTCTCTTATGCACATATATTTAAGAGTAAGCATTACTGAACTCACTATGGCTTACATTTCAGAAGACACAAAGTACTGTGTTGTGAATCTATGAGGTCCATCTAGCCTTACTTCAGGGTAATTCTCATTGTCTTATTTTGCTAAAAGTTGCTTCCATGTAAAAAAAAGCATTGGGTCAGGTACTTACTTTGTCTTACTGTGGTTTGTATAGATTGGATCCAAATGAAACAACCTAAATGAAGTAAGGGTATTTATATACACTAATACAAATGTTGAGGCACTTAGAGAAATATGAGCCACTCAAAATATAGACCTATGATCAATCTTCTTTGGCTTCAGAGTAACACACATAATTCATTGCTTTTCAAATTTTAGATCCTAAGACTTCCCTATCGAATTCTAAGCAATATTTTTCTTGCAGTGAGATGAGTTCATGATAGTATTATAATAAATCTGTGAGAGCTATACTTCAAAATGTGAATATAAATCCTTATTGAAAGTTGGGCTTAATTTGTGGCCATAATATGGACAAATTGCTACTGCTCAAACTTCAGGTAAATGTACTTCACTTTAGAAATATTATGCTTTAGAGTAGCCTAAATTGACAAACTGAAGAAAGAAATACTACATTTTTATTTATTTGTTTGTTTGTTTGTTTGTTTTTGTTTATTTTATTTCCCCATTTTATTTAGATATATAAAATTTGACCTTCCCCTTCTGTCTTCTGACTACTTCTCACAGAACAGCATCAACTTGATGTTATTTCACAGATTTTGTATTCCTACATCACTCATAGATCTTATGTGGAGAATCAACACCAGATTATAGGAACTGCCAGATTATAACTCTAAGCAACTTCAGCCAATGTGGCCCATCATGGGGGTAGCTGAGAAAGGAAAAGGAAATCAAGGCTTGTAGTTTTCAACAACTGTCCTACATCTTCTAAGTCTTTCCTAAACTGGTGCCCACCAGATTGGTTGGACTTCATATACCATTGTGGAAATCAAACACATATGGAAGGCATCAGAGTTTATAACTATCAGCCAAACAAACACAATGTTATGATGTGCATATTTGCATTTAACGTGCATTTTTAAAAAGGCAAATAGAAATTATTTGGGGATGGGGGAGGGGAGCAGGAAATGGAAGTTTAACCATTCTTTCCCTGCTCTGGTCCTGATAAAAAAAATCTTATTTTAGAAATTGTATTTGTATTAGATGAAAGTCCATGTTGAAGGACTGATTTTTGTCATCAGAGCAGAAAATGATTCAACTCTTTTTGTCCTGTTGTAAGCCTAATAATTATCCTGCTTCTTCCACTACTATCTGCACTGCTTAAAATGTGCACATAAGTAGAGTTTAATTAAATTACATCTCATTTATTCCTGTGATTGTTCCCAAAGACAGATCCCAACAAAAGCTATTTCAGATAGATTCTAAAACTTCATTTACTTCCCCCAGGCCAGGCTAGGCCATTAGTCAGTTCTTCTTCTTGGGACATAATATGGCTTTTGATGTTACAAAAGCCATCTGTATAAATAAGAAAAAAGTTTCTAAATGTTCTCATTGTACCACAAAGCTTTATATGACTGTACAACAGTGCTCAAAAAATAACTCTATTAATACTCTCATGAAGTGAAGAAAAAACTTGTTGAAGAGTTGAGAGTTACTTTTCTGAAGCTGTACTATGTTGACAAAATTACCTTACTTTGCAAACAACAAAGTAAGCAATAATTAATCACCTACTGCACACACACCTGTCTGACACATAGCCATCTTTATTTCCCACAGCACGCATTACCCAGATTGTGGCTAGCAGTCAGTTGTGTTACCTGGACATCTTTCAGTATAATTATTAGTATGATTTGTTAAGTATATTCCATCATTCAAAAAAAAATACTCAGAAAACACACAGAATATTATGCAATAAAAATATTACTCTCATCATATAATCTGCCCAACAGTTGTTGGAATTAGGCAATCACTTCATGTTACATCTGTATTATATCAACTGTCCTCCTTGCTAGTGTTCTTCCAAACTTAATTTAAAGGATGGTTCCAACTTTTGAACAAGTGGGGATCATGTTACTTAAAGAATGGCCTTTATCTGCTTGCATGAACGATATAATACATACATAGCGAATTTTTAAAAAGCCTTTTTCTGCAACCTGCCAGTGATATTCATGATATCTCCCTGGTTTACTTATTAAAAAGGAAATTATGCTCAAAATTCTCTGATTTCCTTGGGAGATGTATGCTTGCCTTTTTTTAAAAAAAAATGTTTCTAGGCAACTGTATAATTTCAAATTATTTGGAATGTTTAGCTATATTTTTGGGTACATATAACAACTCTGCCAGGTTTTAAGTTTATTAAAATAAAATTACCTATCTTGTGAGCATAAATTGGAAGTCTTACAATACATTTATACAAGTATTTCCTATATTGTTGCTACTATTGGGCCAAATGAGTTTTCCCAACGGAAATAGGTCTGTACCTGTCATCAGCCCAGCCCCATTTATTCCCAGCCTCCCTCTTTCCTTTGCAGAAAAAGAAACCACCTTTCAAAGAAGATCAAGGGGGGAAGGAGAGGCACATTTTTCATTCAGTCATAAAGTCACCGAAGATGAGCAGTTATTGCAACATAATCCAGCCTTTCTTCTGTTCACATTTATTTGCCATTGTAATGCTCTTTTAACCGACCTTCCAGGACAAAGAACTGCCATTACATTTTCTGTAGCCCTTACCTACAGAGAACTACTCCCAAGAATAATACAAAGCCTATACAGTATTGAAAGCTTGGAAGCTTTCTTTGAAAGCAAATTTGCCAACAAGTAAGCACCTTAACCGGTTGATTCAAGGGGGAGAAATGTGATTACTCACATGTGATGCTTCTAACATTCTAGGTTTTCCCAAAGAGATTTATAGATCCAAAACAAGCATATGCTTCAGCTGTAATGCTCCATCATTATCTTCTCTCCCAAACCCTGGCACATCTGTCCTCTCTTCTGATAAACCAAAGCAGGCAGACAGTATCTAGAGAGAATTTCTTCTACAATGTGCAGCAATGTGTGACTCTTGACAGTGCAGCCTTCCCCAAGCAGGTACCTCCTAGATGCGTTTTGAGATTTAATTCCCATAATTCACAGCAGGCATGGAAAACTGAAACTTTTGAATTCTAACTTAACTGGAGGGCAAAATAATAAATTTATCATTCTTGCAGTACTTGCCATGGGACCAAATACTGATCTGCTTGAAGTGATATCTAGGAGTGTTTTGACAAAAAGCGGGCAAATTACTTCTCAGCTGCAGATATACAGTAGAGTCCAGCTCAGTAAAAAACTGTCAAGAAAATACCATCACCATGTAAGTAGAAGACTAAAAGATATGGCAAACCAAAAGTTGACAGAATCAGGAAGTATAGGATCAGTGTATAAAGTGGGTCTTTATTATACTTTAATTAAACCAATATTTGAAACTGAGATTCAATTAAACATGTCACTTTTGCATTTAAAAATGGAGGAATAAATATATATATGTGAACTGGTCATTTTATAGCAAAATTCCATATTACTACAGGTAGTCCTCGCTTAACAGCCACAACAGGGACCGGAAAATTGGTTGCTAAGCAGGGCAGTCATTAAACAATCACCACACATAACTGGACTTGATTTTATGACCATTTTTATGGCAGCCGTTAAACGAATCACTGCAGTTGTTAAGCAAATCATGTGGTCATTAAGCAAATCCAGCTTCCCCAATGGATTTTTTTGCCAGAATTCGCTTAATGACCACATGATTTGCTTAACGACCACATGGTTCACTTAATGACCATTGCAAAAAAAGTTGCAAACCGTGATTGTGATGTACTAGGTTTTTTAAAAGATTGTCAACTAGATGGTAATCTAGAGAAGTTAGATCAACAGATATTTGCAACAACACTTTTTCTGTAATAGCACACTTCTAAGAAGCATAAGCATTTGTTCCTGATTATGATGATGCCCAATGATGAACTGTATATCATGATGTCATATATGTAGATATGAAATGGATAGTTTGCATCACAATGTACATTTTGTCACTTGTACTTCCTTGCCCCCCCCCCTTGCACATACCTGCAAATCCCTCCCAATGGAAGCAAACTGATTCCTACCTTGCTATTAAGACTATTTTTTACTATTGGATTTTAAATCCAATGATATGATATTTTGTTTCCATCTACTTTTAAAGCTGTTGCCAAATTTTATTGATAAGTTTTTTGTTTTCCTTCTGACTACCTTGCTTTTATGATAAATTTTAATTTATATTTTTGGTGTGTGTGTGTGTGTGTGTATCCTTTGTTGGCTGCTGAGGATACAATTTAAAAATGTAATTTTAAAAATACATATATAGAAATTTGAAGATATGAGCAACTTTCCATGTTCCTCATATAGAGTCTTAATGGCTGGAACCCCAGTCCCAATACCAAAGTTGTCTAACCACAATCTGGTAGGAGGGGGGAAAAGTTTGTTTGTTTATTGTTGCTCATGAGCTTTGCACTCTTAGGAAGCCACAAAAATATATACAATAAATAAGGCTGTAATTCAGTCTAGTGACTTTAGCACATTAGCAGCAAGTTCTTGCCCAAAATTCACCTAAAATAGAATTATTTGTGACCACTAAAGTTTGGAAGGGATATGAAACAGGAAACGAGACCTTCTACTATTAATGTAGATCTCAATAGAAGATCTTTTGCTAGGCACACATATGGAAAAGTGCGCTCACCCATTAAGCACCAAAGTTCCAATAGCCAAGTTGTAAAAGTGGAAAAACATTTTC